CCCAAACGTGAATTAAGGACCCTTAAGAGGGTCCTGGAACCATTTCCATGTTGTTTGTGGAAGTTGTTTGTCAGCGTAGAATTATTGTTATTGTTCACTTAGAGAAGGTACTGATATTTTTATTTTATTTGTAAGATGATACTTTTCGGGGAAAAAAAAAAAGAATTAGTTTTAGGAGTGCTAGCATTTGAGTTATCTTATATTAAATAATAATGTACTCTCTATTATACACTTAGTATTCTCATTGGCTTAATTTTTTCAGTATGTTTCATTTGTCTCTACGTCGTGTTTTATATACATGAGATGTAGGATGTTAGACAAAGTTATTTTGACTTATTATTTTCACATTTGTATTATGGTTTTTATTTAAATTAATATGGCAAACAAATTGTTCATTTAGTGTCTTTCATATGGTCCATATGCTTAAGACGACATGGGCATTCATTAGTTAAGTGGTAGATAATCTATTATGGCAGGATGAAAATCACGAGTAATTCGGATTCTGCAACATAATGAGGCAACCAAATACAAGAGGCTATTTTTTCTAGTATGTCATTGTAAAACTTTTACAAGAATAATTGAATGCCAATAATGATAGGAATTAATACTATTAGGTATGAAAGTTAATGACATCTAAGTTTTGCTCCGGAATGAATTAACTAGACCAAATATAATTTATTTGTAGCTGTCAATTAATGCGGGTAGCTAACCTTTCCCTTATGTATAGACAATGTTATGCAAGAGTGTTTCTATTGTTTTGTTGGTGATACATGTATAATCAAAGCAAAAGGACACAAACTACTTGTTCTATAGATTATGGCCGGCGTAACATTTTCAGGTAAATTCTTGTTTAGTTAGTTATAGTCTTCTTTTAAGGAAGTTAAGCAACCAACCGTTTGTACAGATTTTAAATGTTGTGGGACTTGAATGCAAATAATTTCTCATTTTTTGAGAGGAAGTGATCTTGAGTCTAAAAGAACATTTCAAAATTTGCCAACTTCTAAATACCACAGTTATGATCTAGCTTTTTTTATTTTGATATTCAGTATGTTAGCATGGGTGTAACACCTAATCTGTTTATTGTTTTAAATCAGATTGTAGTTTTTTTTTTCTTGTAGAATGTGTTAAATATATATGATTTAAATGGATTTATAAGCTCACAATGGCAAAAGCACTCATTCAATGAGAGGTTGATGGTTCGAATCCATCTAGATCTAAATCCATCTTCGATTTTTTTATTTTTGAGATTTGAAAAAACAATGTCTTAACGGGTTTATTTTAACTTTTGTTGAATGTTCAATCAGATCTGTCAAGACTTACGGTATTGTCTTAACAACTTAAAACGTTTTATTGATGGTTTAGTGAACAATGTCAAGAAAAAAGGGAATTCCTTGCTAGTTTTGATAAAGAAACTAACATCATTGCATCTAATAGTATGATGGTCTTCAAATCAACCATCAAGAATTACTATGTTTTCATGATGGTTTTTTTTGTAGTCCAAAACTGTCATAAAATACATTAATTATTTGTTTTAGCCGTCATAAAAGGTTGTTTTCCTAGTAGTGTAATATTAATAGTTTTATGTGTGACAAGGAGAGTCGACATTGTCATTGGAGACAACTCTGTCAGTGGTGGCAACTCCCAAATCCAAGGCACCTCCAATGTTAAAGGCGCATCCAAAGGTGAAGTTAACTCCAAACACCAACTCTAATGTACAATTACTTGAACGTATGAACTTGGGGTTCATACACACCTCAAAAAGCTCACACATATATACTCAAAGAATAGCCCAAATCAAAGATCACATACCCCTTTTTTATCAACTCCTCTAGTTGGGTCTTCATCTCTTCCAACTACTTAGGCGTCATCCTGTAAGCAATCTTAGAAATGGGTGTCGTTCATGGCAACAAATCAATACGAAACTCCACCTCTCTATATGAATTGGTGGTAAACCTGAAATTTTCTCACAAATCTGGATACTCTCGAACAATCGCCACATCATTAATGTCGCTCGATTGGGCAACCAGACAACAAAAAGCTCGACATAATCGAATCATTCACTAACACAACTGTGTACCAATAAGGGTGAACCTGGTGCATGTATCCACTATAACTCTCCTCCTAGCACAATCAAGTATCACATGATAACGACTCAACTAATCAAAACTCAAAATAAACTGATATCCCTGAAAATTTACGACAATCAGATCGATAACAAATTTTCTACCATGAACGTCACAATAAGTTTTTAACTGATCAAACAAAACAAGTCGAACCTCCAAAGTCAGTGTAGTGAGATCTAACCCAACTTTAATTTCATAGCGTCCCACTAAAGTAATATTCCACCCTCTAACTCATGTGAAGCAAGCTCTTGCTTTTGAACCTTAGTTATCACTATCTTTGTAAAAATTGCCTTTATCTACACAACCATTATTGGAAATTTGTTATGTAATAACATATTTAATTATGAGTAAAAATTAAGGATAAAATTGTGTATCCTTTGGAAATATATTTTCAAAATTGGTATGACCAAAATTCAGTGTATTTTCATGATGTTTTATGAAAAGACATATCTATTCTTTTTTCTACAATAGGTGCTTATTTGGGAAAAACCACTTTGAAATAACTTATTACCTTTTTTTAAAGGTGTTTATTTGTGAGAAAGCACCTATGGAAAGACACTTATGTGGCTATAAATAATATGCTAATCTGGTCAATTAGTATGCAATTAAGTAGACAAATTCTTCTACATATTCTCCACAATAATTTGAAGGGTTCTTCATATTTGTTCGTTAGTACTCTACTATTTACAGTGCAGTTTAGTAGAGTGAAGAACTAATGTATCTTGGGAGACCAATCGTCCAGAGATTGTTGCACCATAGCAAGGACGTAATATTGTTTTAAGGAAATTGCTTCAACAAGCCTCAGTTAATTTCCTTTTCGACCAATATGGTTATTGTATTGTAAGTGTTTACTTTATTATTTTGTGTTTCTTAAGTATAGATTCAATTGTGTTTTAATTCTTTTGTTAGAATTATTTATGTAATTCCATATTACTATTTTATCTTGTGGTATAATATATGAGATCACACATATCATTACCAACAAACTTAAGACAATATTAGTGTTGGTAATTCGATTAAAAGTGTGAATGAATAAAAGTTTGTCGAAAAACATAATGGTAATGTTAGACAAAACTTATAAGCATGGGCAAAACAATTGGTACACAAGAACGAGACCAATTCAGGTTCTGAGATCGAGTCAAAACAATTTGGTTGAATAATGCTTGTTCTGTGTAGAACAAACTTTGGACAATGTGGAATTCAATTCAACCGGAGTCAGTCAAATGGGGTACTTGCATTAACAGAGAGTATCGTTTAAATAGAACCGACACTAATGATGCAGATAAGGTATAGATATTTATTTTAGTATTTTAATTTTTACTTTTGACAATCTTTTTATAATTTGGGTTTTAATTTGTATGTTTATTTTGATTTACAGGTGAGTGCTGCTCAGTCCATGTATCTTGGTCTATACAAAGAAGCATATAAATTAAAACATTGTCAACCCTATCTGTGCAATTCTTCTAGTGGAATGACATGATGAATAGCAGGAGTGAAATATTTACTAGTGGGAAGCAAGATAAAAGACACAAGGGCAACTAGGAACTAGAGTTCATTGGTGGAGCATCAAATGATACACCAAGTAGCGATACTTCACTTCGTTCTATGAAGAACATTAATCTGGGTGATGATGTGAAAATAGTTTCACCAAACTCTACTGTTCAAACCTCCATCTGAAAATGTTTTAATTTCCTTAATATTGGAGATGGGGAAGTCAAACGCCCAGGAGGAAGAAAAGTTGTTAAGGCTAGGGCAAGATTGTCCAATGCTTCATCGCGGAGAGTAACTTCTCATATTCCACTCATATGGAAAATGTAAGTGCAACTATATTAGAGGAGTTGCAAATTAAGAAAGCTAACCTTGAGTGGAACAAGAAAATGTAGGAGCGAGCTAAAGAAACTAAACGACAACGACACGAAGTAAGAATATGCCAACGGAACAAAGATAGAGCACGAGCAGCAGCAGATGCATTGGCAAGGGAAGAAGCTCAAATAATGATGGCAGATACTACTACTATTTTGATGGGATACTGAGATCAATGCTTTCTCTCCAATGTACTCTAAAAGCAAAGGCCCAAATCCATACTCAAGCCAAGGCCCAAGTTTTGCACCAAGATCACCAGGAGATTTTGGGTCAGGCCAAGATTTTTTTGGGCCTAATAAGTAATTTGAGTTTATGCACTAGTTTAATTTAATTTGAGTCTATGTACTAGTTTAATTTAATTTGAGTCTATGCACTAGTTTAATTTAATTTGAGTCTATGTAATACTTTAACCAGGGAATAAAAAAACGGGAACCCATAAAGATCTGAAAATCACATTTGGCCCTTTCATCAATTACGGTTTTAGTAGACAAAACTGCCCCTATACATTTTTTCCTTTGTTAATCTCTTTTTCTTCCCAACTATTCTTTCATCAATCTTTTTCTCTCTTCTGAGGTTTCGTCTCTTTTTTTTATGAAAAAGTTTGTCTCTCTCAATCTATTTTCTCTCTAGTTTTACAAGTTTCTTCTCTGTGTTGTTGATCATGAATGGTTAAAACTAAATTTGATTTTGGATTTTAGAAAAAGAATCCATTGTTGTTCGCAAACCAAGCAAGTCCAATTTTTTTTAGAAAGTTTCAAGCAATTTTTCCAAATTGTTGTTGCTTGAATTGATTTTCCTTTCATACATACCCAAATCCAGATAAACAAAACTTGTTTTAAGCAAATTTAATTTAAGTTGTGTGGTAATTGACTTTAGTAATCCAAATAAAAACACCCTTCAACATTTGATTTCGTTGATTTAGGAAATCTTCAAGTGAAGGTGAAGGCGTTGGGGAATTGTTGTTGTTTAATTAATTAGGTGATAATGTCATGAACCACAGTAGAGGGGATTGGGGAATTGTTTATGGGAATAAAGATGAATAAGGAGGTTGTTATGGAATGTTGTTATTAACCATTGTGAATGATGGAAGAAGACTTGGAGATATAAAATGTATTTTTTCTTAGCCTATCGAATGTTTTATATATTTGCTTTTATTGTATAAATATAGGTCAATTCGTATTTGGCAGAGATCAATGAGTTGTTTGCATAGAGATCAGTGCATACATGAATTAGGTCTAGAAATGGAAAGAGCTCAATGCGTACTTTGACAGAGATCAATGCCTTGTTTGGATAGAGATCAGTGCATACTTGAATTAGTTCTAGAAGTGCAAAGAAGTCAATGCATACATACACAAAGATCAATGCCTTGCTTACAAAGAGGTTGATGCATAGGTCTAGAATACAAATAGCTCAAATGTATACTTTCCATAAATCAATGCATTGCTTGCGAGAGATCAATGCAATAATGCATACTTGAGTTCAACTGGGCTTCATAATTGAGTTGAAAAAAAAATTAAATTCATCTGAAAGATTTTGTTTAGTCCCCAAACACAAATTTTGCTAATCCAAGTTTGTAGGTTAAAAATTGTTGCATATTGATGATTATAATGTCAAAGGTCATTTT